CTGATAAAGTTTTCAACTGATTTTTTTTTTATTGCTGTTGTAGCAAACTACCATAAACAGAGTGGCTAAAAACGCTACCTTACAAATCTATAACTTCATATTTCTAGAGTCATGGTGTCAGCAGGCTCTGTTCATTTCTGGAGGCCCCAGGGGAGCATCTGCTCTCTGCCTTTCCCTCTTCCAGAGGCACCTGCATCCTATGGCAGTGGTCTTCCTCCTCATCTCCAAGGCTGGCAATGGCAGGTCACCTCCCTGCCACATGGCATTGCTCTAGCCTCCTCTTCTGTCTTCCTTTTGTTCTTTCAAGCATCTTGTAACCACACGGAGCCCATTTGACCCAGAGCAATCTCTCTGTTAGTCAATAAGCAACCTTTCCTCCCCCCTGCTGTGTAACAACCTATCCACAGGTTCTGGAGATTCAGAGACGTAGACATTTGGGGGTGATTATTATGCCCATCACAGGTTTGGAATTGAGGGCAAAGGAAGAATCTCTTCCTATTTTTGCTCCTCTTCTTCTATGGATCTCAGAAGGGACTATGCCTAAGAAATAACTGGCTTGGAGACCTGTCCCTCCATCCAGTGTCCCCACTACTTCTGCCTGCTAACTGGGGTCCTCTGGCCTCGATTAAACTCTTCCCTCTGGGTTGGCTGGAATCTGTGAATGCACAGTTTGGCATCAGCTGGACCACTTTGTTCCATACAAATTATAAAGGCAAGCAGTGCCTGGGCTCTTGGAGTTCTTGTGACACTCTGGGTGAGGAGAGAGGGCTCAGTTTGGCAGACTACTTGAATACCAAGTCACATAGTTACATCCTCATACCGTGGGACTCGCCCGAGAGTGGATCTCCCAATTCAAGCTGAAATTGGGACAGCTCTGAGCGCCAAGGCCCGGGCCCAAAGGTAGGCTGAGGAGACTACGGATCCGTAATGGCAAGAGCAATCTCAGTGCCTCAAATATTCATAATCAGAGGGTCAGGAAACACTTGAAATATGAAGGGGAAAATAATGCTGTCTCTTTTGCTCAGTTTCCTGGCACAATGTTGGAGGGCGATTTTCATTTTGTTACAGTCTCAGGACAACATTTCACCACAAACATTCGATTTTGCGTTCAGAAGTTGTGAAGTAATATGGCTTTGGTATCCCAAATAATTAGTCATTGGAGTTAACATCAGTGTTCTGATAGCTTGGAAGAAGGTGACCAATGAATTCCAGTCCTCCTGATCTAAGGTACACATGGAGGGAGCCTGACTTATGCTCTCCTGGTGCTCCTGATGACATGTGTGTTACCTTGGGGTGCCACTCAGGAGGGGGATCTAAATGCTTTCACCCATCGCTCACTAATGCGCAGGTGGGTGAAGGCTCCCAAGCACAGTGATGCTCTGGAGGGACCAAGAAAGGGACACACAAGTGGAAACCTCCCTAGAGCTGAGCTTTCAGCTGTCAAAGCACCCCAACTCCTGGAGTTCCAGAGCTTCTGAGGGGACAGCAGGGTGTGTAGGAACTAGCGGAAGTTCAACCAACCATCCCGCTCTCCATTAACCCAGTCTCTCTACCCCGCTTGCCCCATTTCTTCTTCCTCTGAAAGTACCTTTCATTTGTCTGCTATCTGGGGCCTGTGACATGCCACCTTGATTCATCCCTTTTGATCCTCCCATCTCAGCCCACTGGCTCTAGTTGGCTGGAAGTAGCCACTGATCAATATCAGGAAAGAACTGGAGAGTGAGAGGAGATCAAGGGGAGAATTGGCACTCCAAGTTTACTATCTTAATTTATAATTTCTCAAAAGCCAGCTGGTGACATACAAGATACAAACTGACATGGTCTCTATCTTTTAGACTCCAAAGGTACACATTCTTATCAGTTGCTTTTAATAACCCTAAAGACACAGCAGCTACATTCTGTTGCAAATAGCTAAGGTCTTTCTGGGAGGTCATGGTCCTTTAAAGTCTTAGGGAATAGCTGCTGTCCTCCTGAGCCACTGCCGAGGTCAGCGGTCTTCTCATCCATAAGGTGATCTGCCTTTCTCATGCTCGTCTTCCCTTTGCTGAAATATGGTCAGGTCTAATCTGTCAGAACGTTTCCTATTTCCTTTAGAGAACACATGATGTGGCCTATTGCTTATGTGTAAATCCATAAAGACTGGAGTTCCTTTCTATATATAACCTCCTAGAGGTTAAAAAGGAAGAATTCTGGTCACTTGTCTAATTTAAATTGTTGGAGAACATATTTCCAATTACAGAACAGGGCAAGAACAGCATTACTAAGTTGGAAACATTTGCACAGTCACCATCTGTGATATTTTTCCTTGATATTTCATAGTGAGTTGTTGTCTCATGCCTACATTATTTTTTAATTTTTTTAACTTTTTTTTTAAAGAGAGAGAGAGAGAGAGAGAGAGAGAGAGAGAGAGAGAGAGAATTTTAATATTTATTTTTTAGTTTTCGGCGGACACAACATCTTTGTTTGTATGTGGTGCTGAGGATCGAACCCAGCATCTCACACATGCTAGGCAAGTGCTCTACCACTTAGCTGCAATCCCAGTCCTGTACATTATTCTTACCTTAAGCAATATGTGTGAAATCATGGTTTGATGTGATAGTATTTAAAATATAAAAATTAAAATATAAATATTAGGAAAATTTCCCTATCTACCACCTAATATGATTTCCTGTATTACTGACATTAGCCTCCCCAACCTTGTGAAACACTTCTCTGGAATACAGACATAGAGATTTACATGGATAACTTTATATAGGCAAATCCACTACTATTTCAGCTTAGCCACAGATGAAGCATCACAATAGTCTGTTCACAGTAACTGGTGATTAAAAATTCAGCACATTCTAGAATAATATAAAATATCTCCCTTCCTGAAAGCCAGAAATTATATGATACAGTAAGAAATTTATAATCATTACTAAATCCTTTTTTCTTTGGTAGTACTGAGGATTGAACCCAGAAGTACTGTACCCTTGAAATAGTTCCCCAAATGTTGTAATTTGGGTAATACTGTTCTTGTCCTGGTAAATGGAAATATGTTCTCTAAAAAGATATAGGCCTTTTTACTTTTTATTTTGAGACAGGGTCTCCCTAAGTTGCCTAGGCTGGCCTTGAATTTGTAATCCTCCTGCCTCAGCCTCCTGAGAAGCTGGGATTAAAGGTGTGTGTCACCGCACTAAACTTAAGTCCTATTTTTTTTAAAGCCACTTGAGTTCTTTATTTAATATTTAACGGGTTATCCATTCAGTTTTGTGTGATCGCACCTCAGCATTCATCTGTGAAGGACTAGAATACACTGTTGTTGGTTTAATCATGCAGGCTAAACTAAAACAACATAACAAATGCTATCCATCTTTCCAACCCCACCCCCCAATTCTCCATCATCAGAAGTAGAAAAAAGCTTGGCTGTGATCCATAATAATTCCATTAACCCTGCAATGAAGCATTAAATTAAACTGCCGAACCCACATTCTTCTCTTGCTACAAGGGGAAACGTACCTTGTAAGGCCTGCAGTTGTGCTAATAGATTTACTAACAAACTACATGATCACAGGAGAACACAAATAAGTGAAATAATTTGGCAAGTTGTGAACTCTCCAGTGGGGGTGCTGCAGCACCTGATGTGTTCGCCTCACCCCGCCCCCGATAATATTTAATAGAAAGATTTTAGTTACAGAGAGTTTAAGAAACAGAAGGAGCAATTTTCAAATGGTTCACGTTTCTCCCAAATTTTCCAACCAATACTTTTTTATTAATTACAGGGGGTGAAAAAAAAAGCTGACTTGAGCCAGAAATCTGGTGGAGAGCTTCTGTTATTCCTGATATAAATATAAATGAGCACCCTGGATACTGGGGGATTCTATGGAGGACATTTCAATTCAGTGGTAGAGAGTGGGCCGAAGCCCAAGTTCCTGACCACTAATCCAGGGCTCTCTGCCCTAGCCCAAGCTTTCTGGCCTTCCCCCTAGAGAATGTGAAGATTCCTCTGCAGCAAATTCCATTTCTGGGTGTGATTTTAGTGTCTGTCTCTTCAGTGTATTACCCTGTTTCTCGGAAGCCAGAGGATCACAGGAGTCACCCAGCTCTATGTCAAAAGCAAGTCCTTCTAGGAGAGTGGCTGGGACTTGACTTGTGCTACTTTCTGGATTTCTGACACTTGAGGGTGAACACCTAAAAGCGCAGTCATTTCAAAAAATTCCTATCTAAATTCCATGTTACATTTCATCAACCCAGAAGCAGAAAGAGGTCAAGTATGCCAGAAAATACTTCAACAGTCAGATCACTAAACAGTATTTGAAATCTGTACTGAGATCCAGAAATACAGGACACTGGAGCTGGAAGGGATCTTGGAAATCATACACTTCAACACCTTCCCTTAACAGGCTGCTCAAGGTCGTAGAATCAGTTTGTGTCAGAGTAAGGAGGAGAACCCTGGAGACCACAGTCATCCTCTTTCTCTACTTAGTGTGGTCTGAAGCTCCCCATCCCCGACAGTGGTGCCATGAAGCCTGATAGACCCCTATAAAGCCAACTACTGAGTTCAGCAGTTTAATGTGTATACCCACATTCTTAAGCCTCACCTCCTACTACCAAGCAACCGAGACATGATAAAGCCTGATTGGCCGAGGCCAAGCTTCCCTTCTGCACATGGACCTGCTGTTTATTGCAAGGTGCAATACCTAGAAAGCGCACTAGTGAGAGAGGAAGTGAGGCAGGTCCCCTAGGGCCAGCTGAACTGACACGGATGCTGTAGCAACAGACCAAACAACAACAAATCTACCCACACCTGAATTCCCTGTGCTCTCCCTGCCAGAAGCACCACCCTACAAAGAAGCCAGGCTCAAGAACTCAGCAGGCCTTTTCCACCTGCTGTACTGGTTCCTTTCTTCTCTTCCAGTCGAAGGGGCCCCAATCCACTCTCCCAACATCATGACCCTCATTTCTCAGGCCACTTTGGAGTCCCCTCTGCATCTGGCCAACCCCAAGCAGGGCGAGCTTACCTGTCAGCATCTCCAAGGCCCAGGGAGGTATTTCGTTGCAGGGTCTCACGCACCACAGCCATCCCATCAGGGAGCCGGTTCAGGCGACGGGTGTAGAGGCCAAGTCCACCATCGGTCATATACCTTTTAAAAGGAGAAGAGGATGATACATGTGTATGGTCAAAAGCATTCGCACTGACTTGTTATTCATATCCAGAAGCCCTGCGTGGCTAAGCCCTGCGTGCTCCAATGGGGGAAGAACTAAGGATTCCCTGAGGCTCTGTCACCAATCATAGCCCAAGGATAACTCAGCCACAGATTCAACCCAGAGGATCACCAGCTTGCTAGAGGAAAAAAAAATACTCAGCTTAATTAACCCAAACTCACAGGAATCTATGAAGCAGAAGGGAACTAGTGAATAAAATTAACTGTCAGATGTATCCATGACATACTTTTTAATGTCAGCAATTACACAAGCAGGTGTTTTACCTAAGCAATGTAAATGGAACTGACAAGTCATTAGCAAATTGTATGCAGAACTATTCCAGAGCAGTGCAGTGGGGAAAGCAGGCAGGAAAGAAAGGGGATTGTGGGGCTAGCAGAGCCCCCTTTATCATTATGGGCAAGTCACTTCTCTAGATCTTGGGAATATCATAGCTTGTTACATGTGGGAATCTTACAAGGAGTGTGTGAGGATAACTGAGGTAAGGAATACAAAGTGCTCTGCAATCTGTATAAATCCCTATAACTGGCAGGCATTACTATGGTTGTCATGGTCTTTGATACTGATATCTTAAGGGTTGTCACAAAACTATGTGAATAACTCTCGTGCTAATTTGCCAGATCTCTTGGTGATGCTCCAAATCTGTCTTCTGATGAAATCAGTGTTGTCGGGAAAGGAGGACCCCTGGAACTTTCTGAATAGATAGCTGACTGTCGACCAACCGGACGACTCCCTGAGAGCATAGCCACTGGATCAGGTCCAAAGCAGCTGTACCTCATATCTACCTGGCTCCTCCCCAGAGGCTCCAAAAGGAGATTGGTTATGTTAGAACAGAACAGAAGGCAAAGCAAAATTTGGGTAGAGCCAGAAACCAAATTCAGATCCCTATCGCTGCATAGCCCCATTGGATCACCTTGTAAGATCCCTGAAAACACAACCATACTATAGTTCAAGTTCAATAACATGTAGCAAAAGTCCCCCCCGAGTCATTATTTCTTGACACAGAATCAAATGAACTAAATTATAGAGGTTTTCCTGCCTTTGGCATTTCAGCTTAGCTTATATGGGGTAGGTCCTAAGGGTTCCTGATCCCTGAATATCTCTCACTTCTGACTGGGGACCCTCTTGGGATATGTTCTTGGAAGAACAGAACTGTGAGACGCTGTGGAGAACTAGCTACGCCAAGTGAGGGGCAGAGGAGAACGCCTTCCCTGGAGTAGCTGCTGTGATGAGCAGCTCCTAGTACTGGCCTAAGGAACTTTCATCAGGGCTGCTTCCCAGAGATCATCTCCAAATTGGGCAACCTGATGGCCTCTCTTCCTTCCTTAAGGACATTAGCAATCAGATGATGCAACACCAGCATGATGAAAACTACGAGTCAATCAACAAAGTGTTTGTGGTTGTGTGGACAAAACAACAGAATACAGTGAGTTTTTCACTCAACTATATCAACTTAAAAAGATAAAAGCTCTCTGCATATACTAAAAATGACTGTTTTGCACATTTAAAAGTGATGAATTTTTATAAGGGAGACCAGTAGGACAAAGAAAGGAATCAGGGAGAGAGGGTAGAGAAGGATGGGGGAGGTACTGGGGAGTAAAATTTAAAATTTATCAAATTGTGCTTTTTTTCTTTTCTTTTTCTTTCTTCTTCTTCTTTTTTTTTTTTTTTTTTTGGTACCACGGATTAAACCCAGGGGAGCTTAATCACTGAACCACGTTCTCAGCCATTTTTATTTTTTATTTTAAGACAGGGTCTTCCTAAGTTGCTTAGGACCTTGCTAAATTGCTGAGACTGGCTTTGAACTTGCCATCCTCCTGCCTCAGCATCCTGAGCTGCTGGGATTACAGGTGTATGCCACCAATGCCCAGCAAAATTATGCTTCTATGTGTAAAGAAATAAAACCTAGCATATTGAATAATTAATAAGCACTAATAAAGATTTTTTAAAGTGGTTAATTTTATGGTATATAAATTATATCTCAATAAAGGCAAAAATGACTAAAATTACAGTAGTTAAATCATAACTTGTATAATTGCTTTTTTCATTTTTAAAATTTTAATTGGTTATATATGACAGCAGAATATGTTATAATTCATAGTGCACATACAGAGCACAATTTTTCATATCTCTGGTTGTACACAAAGTAGAGTCACACCATTCGTGTCTTCATACATGTACTTAGGGTAATGATGTCCATTTCATTCCACTGTCTTTCCTACCCCCACGCCCCCTCCCTTCCCCTCCCTCCTCTTTCCCCCTTTGCCCTATCTAGAGTTCATCTAATCTTCCCATGCATAATTGCTTTTTAATGTTTCTCTCACAAGGGACAGTAAGCTCCCTGAAGGCAGGAATTATTCTTTTTTGTTCAAATCTATATCCTGTATGTCTCACTCATTCTAAGTACTTACTAAATCTCATTTTTGTTGAACAAATGAATGAAGCATGAAGACACAGCCACAGGTCAGAATCTAGCTAAAACTTTCTGCAAGAACACTGATTTCAGGTTCTTCCTCCTTTTAAATGTTAGTAAACTTGACATCTAAAACATGGCAAGGCAAATGAAACCTTTTATCTGCCACTATATCCCCATCCCTCCATCTATCCAGCTGTCTGTCTATGCATCCAACTTTACAACAGATGTAGTGACTAGTGACTCAGTGCACAGCCGTGGGCTACATGCATCCACCCCATAACCAGCAATAAGGAGATAAAAAACACCTACCCTCAAATGCAGTAACTTGACAAGGGCTGCACTTTTTATATTAAATATCCTTTCAAGGAGAATACAGTGGAAGTTCTTCAAAATGCCATCTTGTGTACCATTAAATGAGGCAGTTTAAAAAATACACACACACACACACACACACACACATACATATAAAAATTTTTTTAGTTGTCAATGGACTTTTATTTTATATTTATTTATATGCAGTGCTGAGAATCGAACCCAGTACCTCACACATGCTAGGCAAGCACTTTACCATTGTGCTATAACTCCAGCCCTAAATGAGATAGTTTAATTTTGATTTTAGCAAAGACTGCCCAACCAGCTACATAAACAAAAAGTTTTCGACTGGGGAGATCTTGTCAAAGGACAACTGAACTAATTTTAGCATTCAGTTCCCTGCTGGATTTTTATTGCTGGTGAAACAACACATACGGTTGGGCAATTAAATGCACCTGGGCATGGACTCAGGGCCCACACAAGCATCCTCCTGGTTTGTTGCTAAGGCCGGAGAGAAGAGTCTGGTAAGCATTACAGAGATGAAAGATCAACACATGCTGCAGCCTCCCACCCAGTAATACTCAGGTACAATGTGGTTTTGCTGGAAAATGACGACCTACGAGGGTGAGAGGGCCCCAGAGAGATGCGACTGAATGCTGCTGGGAACTGACTTTTTCTGATAGAGGAGAGGGTAAGGGCAAGGATAAAGCAGGATCCTCTGCCTTCTCAAACATGCACCAAGAACAAAAGCCACAGAGATGAATCCAACTAATCTGGCAACAATTCTATTTCATTCACCATGGGCACCTGGGAGTGAGGTAGATGGGTGAGGAAATGGGGAATTGACCTCTTCACCCAGTTGTTTATAATAATTTATTCAATCATATTTTTAAGATACTAGTCTTCAAAATGAGTTCTTTTGTATGTCCCTAGGAGGGAGCACAGTACCGGAGATGGAGTTGTCCTTAGAATCTACCTCGCTTCCAAGAATCCCAATTTAAAATATTTGTTTCTATAAAGGAAACGGAGAGGGAAGGATAAGATTACATAAAGAACCAATCAAATTCAAATTAATAAGTGAGTGAAAGGAAGCCTAGTAAAGTAGAGGAAGGAGAAAGAGATATGGGAGGGAAAAGAGGGGATTATTTCATGCATGTATGAGTTTGTCGGGATGAATCCAACTATGGATAACCATAGAGCGCCAATAAAAAAATAAATAAAATATTTCTAAATTAGCAACCACCAATTACAATAGTTGGGTTTACAAAAAACTTCATATATGCTTTTAAATGACTCATCTAGTCTTGGTGAAAAATGCATGTTTTTGTTGGACCTAAATTTGTATTGGGATTGGCTACTGAAAACATTATAACAGACGGCCTGGACAAAGTTAATCCCTTAACAAAGCATAATTTGCAGATGAAGCAGTTATGGCTGTGTTCATCTGAAACACTGGGCACGCCCAGAGGTGTCAAAGAGGCTTGTGTCCCCGAAGGATCAGGAAGACAGGGAGCAATGGTTTCACCCATCTCTAAGAGCTTACCAGGACACTCATACTGGGTGGACATGATATGACTTGCCTGAGGTCACAAGCAAAGGAACCAGTGGATCCTGGACTGAATCCCAGAGCACCAGTGTCACACCTCCTCCTCCTTGGGGAAATAAATAATTAGTTCTAGAGTCTAATGAGGAGATGGTAACATCTAAAGTTTGTTGATGGGGTTCCTGCTTAGGCTGACAAGCTACTGAACAATTTCTGTGTTATCCTCCTGAGTTCTGCAGTGATGGGTGGTGGGGGCTCTTTGCTTCCATCTTCCAAAGCTCCCCAGAGTCTGGATGGAGAGAGCAGGATACTTGACTTTGCTAAAGGGACAAAGTATCTGAGAATTTTTCCTGCATTTCTAGGCCACCCCTGGGTGGTCCATAAGCATCAGAGTTAGGGACATGACACACTCTTGGTAGAGCTAGGGTTCAAATATGTCCTCTGCCTCTTGCTAGCTGAGGGACACGGTACATATCATGGCTAATGAGAACTAACCACACTGGATACTTACTGGGTACTGTGCTAAGTACTTCACATAACTTATGGCATTTAATCTTCAAAAGAATCTGATCAAGTGTATTAATCTCCATTGTCCAGATAAAGAAAATAAAGCTGTGGCCAAGATCACAGCACAGGAAGGTGGATTCAAA